AACTGTAGCTGGAATTTCTGCTCCAGACAGAGTATGATGGGACACCGCAATACATCCAACATGGCAGTCTTCCCTCTCAGTAGCACCATGTGGCCACTGGAACCCAGTCTTCTTGAGCGAGTGTTTTCCCATGACCACCACTGGCAACAATTATGCACAGTGGATACATTCCTGCCAAGTCTTTGTGCAATATCACAGAAAGAAAATCCAGTCTTGTAGCCCTATTACACAACCTCATTCATACTCACTGAGCTGTTCAATAAAGCTTCTTTATCTTCTTAACCTTTTCCCGGGGGCTGAGACATATGTATCCCATACTAAGGATACAGCAACTGGGGGCTCGGGACAGTTTGTCATCAGTGGCAGGGGTAGGAATTCTAGTGCTTGAGGCTTGATGACTTTTTTATAACACCCCTCAGAGTACGTTCTTTTGTGGCATTCCGCTAATGAATTGGGGAAAATTGTCCTGTTCTGAAACCACATGGCTTGTTTGCAAATTTGGTATCTTCCAGGAAATATTGAGATAAGAAAATAAAAAGAATAATTTGTTACTTCGATTCTCATGTGTTTGTGTTTTCAGGATTTTTCCTTGTACAAATACGATTACTATTTCTTTCAGTTGATACATATTTTTTTTAGCTTTAAATAATGGTTAAACGTAAAAGATACCTAATGAAAGATGAAATTTCGGATATCGGATGGATATTCAGTGGTGGGATGAGTTGGATGAAACATTTGAAGACAGCGATTCTGATTGCTGTGATGAAAGTTTTTGTGATGGCAGAGAAAAAGGATTTTCTCCTTCTACTGATCTATGAAATCATATGGAAGACAAATTTCAAAGTTCAATAACAGACTCAAGAAATGACTCGAAATGCCTGGTTGTTCGTCTGATCAGATTGGTTTATCACTTTCAAGTGTAAATTATGAAGCATAATTTATATGGAAAACACTATGCGATGATTTTGCAACTGCAGAAGATGTAATAGTTCATGATTTTATGGGAATATCAGGACTAAAACATGGATTGCATTATTCAATTATGGCAAAGCACACGAGGACTAGCTGCCTAAAGGAGAGGGATGCCTTCGTGGAGGACTTTCTAAAGGTAACTGGCTCGCATACACGTTACACATGGGGAAAACCATGAAAACTCCCATGCAGCCAGCCTGTTTGCGGGATTCGAACCTAGGACCGAACTACCAGAGTTCAGCGTCTTTACCGCTCGGCCTGGACTAAAACATTAATTATATGATAGGAATGAACTTGATTATTGTAAACTTTTTTTCAATAGCGAACTGATAAATAAAATTGTACAGGAAACAAATCGTTATGCTGTTCAAAACAAAAAAAAAGTGTACCAGAAATTTCTCCCGAGAGAAAAAGATCACATCATGCTGATTGGAAAGATGTTACAGCATCTGAAATGCTTTCGTTTCTACCACTGACATTGCTATGTGGACACATAGAAAAGGATTCAATCAGTGATTATTGGAGCACTAATGAATTGATCGAGATTGCATTTTTCCAAAAAAATCATGTCTCTTGACCACTTTAAAAAAATATTACGCTTTCTTCATTTTGCAAATAATGAAACACCACCATCGAAGACAAATTCTGATTACAACCGCTTGTGGAAACTTAAGAGAAATATTTGAAATACTTTTTTTCAATTTTAAATCAGTTTACGATCCCCCCAAAAATCTGGCAGTTGATGAAGTGATCGTGGCTTTTAAAGGTCGTGTATATTTCCGTCAGTATATCCCTAAAAAAACATAAACGCTGGGGATTAAAAATTTATAAACTGTATGACGAAAATGCCTATACATATGACATGAAAGTTTATATAGGGAAAAATAAAGACGAAAGATTTGAAGATCGAAGTGCATTGGAATCTGCTGTTCTACATTTAACAAAACATGTAAAAGGGATAGGCATTCCCTCTTTATGGATAATTTCTTTTCTACTCTGCAACTTTTTCTAGAACTAAGAAATAATTATAAGATAAATTGCTGCAGAACAGTGCAGATTCGACAAAAAGATTTACCCACAGATTTGACAGCCAGAAAAGCAGGTGATTTGGATCTGAAATATTCAAATGGTCTCACTGTTGCATGCTGGAAAGATAAAACAGAAATTCATGTTTTAAGCTCTATGCATGAACGAGTCAGTGAACTGCTTCTAGTTATAAATAATTGCGAAAGAACTCCAAAACTTGCACTCATTTGTGATTATAACAAAAATATGGGATATGTCGACCTCAGTGACAGAATCGCCATTTCCTACGGATTTTCGCGAAAGTCTCAGAAATGAACAAAAAAAACTCTTTCTCCATTTTTTGAACATTGCCGTTTTAAACACATATATATTATTCAAAGAGAGAAACAAGATTGATCACAGAAGTTTTTGCATGAATTTAATTAATCAAATTTTTCGATAGGAATAATTTGCCTATGATCGTTTCTCCAACCACTCAATCGTTTCATTGGCCAGTGAAATCTGATTTGAGGAGACTGTGTGTTGTATGCAGCAAGAATCATAAAGAAGTGAGAACTTGGGTTGCATGTAAAATCTATAATGTTGGCCTATGTCTCAGAGACTGTGACGAAAACTATCATAAGTAATACAGTCAAAAGTCTTTAATCCGGACTCGTTGGGACTTTGGAGAGTCCGGATTATCGGTTTCTCCAGATTATAGATCACCAATTTAAATCTGGTAAGATGGCAAGCAGAAACTATAAAATTAAAAATATGAAACTATAATTTATGAAATAAAGAGCAATTATGATGTAAATGGTATCAAAATTTACAAAAAAAAAATTAATATTATATGTTTTCCTTTATTAAACATTTTTTAACGCGTGCTTGCGTAAAGCTTCATTACGAATAGACAAAAATTAGAAAAATTGCAACCAGAAAACTATTTATGTGTATCGTGATATTTATAATGACAAGGAATTGTTTAAATCATATCAAGACGGAGTACATCGAGATGAAATACTACATTTAGTAAGGAATTATAAGCCAAATAAACTAAAAACATCTGCCCTGAAGATAAGGATAGTGCTGACAGATCAACTTCCAGTTCATTGCGTGCCGCGACGACGTGTTTTGGAGGGAATCAAACAAGATATCGGAATACTAACCACGTGTATAGAAATTCCGATGCGTACCACATTTTAGTCCCCTGAATTTAATCCTCAGTGCAAATCTTCATTAATATTCATAAACTCAATACGAATCTTCATTTCCAGTTTCATTACTCCCAAAGAAAGTTACAGTAAATAGCTTGAGATCTGAAAATTTCACATAACAGTTTGATACCTCAAAGGTGAATTTAGCATTCTGAAAATGTATATCATAAAAAATTGAAGAAATATGTCACCATTCGACAAAGATGTTTATTTTTTTTAAATTTCAGTGTGTTCCCGTATATGTAATTTTGCATTAAAAAAAATAAAGCAGCAATATAAATTATCGAACAACTGTTCCCCTTCTGCTTGTTCTAAGATAAAAGCAATATCTAATGTCTCTAAATGATAAAATTAAATTTTTGTTACTGAATACATAAAAACTCAACAAGGGTTTTATTTTCTAAAGCTCCTGGGTTTGCATCTGCATTTCTTTCCGAAAAAACTATAAGTGGTTAAAAATTAAAATCTTATATCCCTGATGTAAAGGCAGATCAATTCTGGGACCGCTATTTGGAAAGCCACATGGAAGAAAAATAAATTTAAAAAAAAAAAAAAAAATGACTCGTACATTGTAAATTTTTGTTAGTGCAGGTGTTGTTCAATAATAATTTAGTGCAGTACAAACGCAGTGACCAATTTCTATTTCTTCAGAAATGAATATTAGCAGAGGTGTAAATAACACTCATTTGGAATTTAATAACACATTTAATAACACTCATTTGGGAATCCGGAAATACTTTTTAAATGAAACTTGTAATAAATAAACTCTATTTAATTTGCTCTTCAATATCAGAATAATAATACTATTAAAAACAAAAATGTATATATCGTTTGAAGGAAATGTTTGAATATTTTAAATCACTGAATTTTTGTTACGATGCCAAGTGAATATATTTAACTCTCATTGCTTTGTTTATTTTTTAGTTCATAATCTACATTCAAGTTTAAAAAAGTATTTTAATCATAAAATGGAACACGTTTTTAGAGCAAAATTTTCTATGTGTAACATACATTTCATCTGAAGATAAAATATTATTTTTTTCCTTGGGAAAACTGCATTCACCTACCTGCAGTGTGAAATCGATTCGAGTACATCCCACATTCTAACGCCCAGAGCATTGGAACTGGATTGAAAGAGAATCCTGATCGTTTCCCTGCCTACAGACAAAAGAGCACTAATCACCTAATTGTTAAGACTGGATTCGACAATTTTCTCCCTTTCCATAACAGCTGAGCCAAGAACCCCCAGTGAAGGTACACAACTGTTTTTCGAGCCCATGGGGAAAAGTTAAAGGCATTCTTGACTAACATCAACTCACTATGTCAAATCTCAGTGATAAATAATGCTCAAGAACTTTACAGGACGTATTTAAAGCAAACTTGATTTGCATATTCATAGTGGTGCTACTAGCGCAAAACTTACGTGCTAAGTACAAAATTTGAATAGACATCATCTTTCAGATATATAAACATGCCTACCAAATTTCGTTTATCTAGCACAACTCCTTCTTGGTACTGAGATTTTTCTTTCTATCAGTATATATTTCAGGTATAAAACATCAACGGAATTTTTAAATAATCAATAAAATATTTTTTTCATGGCAGTTTTGCAAACTCTGGAATTTCTGGACCCAAAGTCTTTTTTTTTTTTTTTTTTTTTTTTTTTGGTAATAAAAATGCACATTGACATTATAAGACTTCAAAACATAAATCTTTATTATCTGCAAAGAAATTAATAAAAGATAAAATGATGATTGAAGATTATTCAAATCTTGCTACATGGGTTAAAACTAAACAAGACTTTACCTCGTGAAACAGAATCCAAGGCTACACCCGATCCTGTAGCACCTCCACCAATTACTAAAATATCATATTCAGGAGTAGTCTGCAATTCATTCAGCTGCTCACTTCGGCTTGGTAATCGATGTTTCATTTTTGAAGGAGTAATTTCATCAGCAATGACAACATGCTAGTAAATATATGCAAGTTACTGTAAATGTGGATGCCAATATCATCTACGTACAATATACAGTACAAAGTCCGTAATCTGGACTCGTCGGGACTTCGGCGATTCCGGATTAGGGATTTTTCCGGATTATAGATCATCAATTTAAATCTGGTAAGATGGCATGCAGAAATTATACAATTAAAAATATGAAACTGTAATTTATGAAATAAAGAGCAATTATGATAGGGTATCAAATTTTACAAAAAAAAAGAAGCTTAATATTTATTTGTTTACTTTATTAAACATTTCTTTCAATGCGCTCATGCATAAAGTTTGTGGCTTTGAGGTCCAGATTATAGATCATTCCGGATAATGGGCGTCCGGATTACAGACTTTGTACTGTACAAGTTTTACATAAATTTCAGTCTCCTAAAATTAACTATTTCACTAACATCTATAAAAAAGTTACATAAATAAATTTTTGATTACTAAATAAAACTTCACACTTTAAAATAAATTTGTTCATGCATCACTTGAACAGAAAATATTTTATAATGTATAACAAAAGATGATCTGCAATTCTTTGATACTGAATTCATTATGCATACATATGGAGCATATGAAAGAAACAAGATAAACATTTAATAATTGAAAAAAAATCAAATGATATTTCACTGCCAACTACAAAGTGAATATGTAACTTTTGAAATACACATAGAAATGAATATAAATTAATATACAGTAAGTTTTTCATTTTCAATCTTCATAGTTAGCAAACAAGTCTGTACATGAATATAATGAATATTGATGAGGTTCACATTAATATTCAATGATTTAAAAGTTTATATACAGAAGCATTTTTGTTTTTTGTTCCTCTTTCAAAATATATCTGTATAGAATTTATTGTGTTTAACAGAGTAATTGGAAATAATTTATAATACAGATTAACGCAAAACCTGATGATTTTAAAATTTGAATCCAATATTTCATATAAAAATACCAGTCAGCATCATTAACAAATTATTAAAGCTCCTTGGACTTCAGTATGAAACAAAATAAACACTAATGCTCAAAATGGCAATGAAAATCTTATCAAAATCTCCAATAAAATTTACCCAAGTGCATTTTGTTAGCTTTTAGTCAGTTAACTTGCGATTTCCAAGATTTAATTAAAAAATTAGATATGAACATACACCTGACATTGCTTGGTAGGAACGTAAGGACGTGACATTGCTTAACAATGAAGTTCTATATATTTTGATTACAATACCATTTATGATTACATTGTTTCTTCACAAAGTATTCAGTCACTTTTAAAATCCTTCTTACTAGTGAAAATAATAGTTGTACTTCTTTAGCTGTCTAAAAGAATGATTTCAAAATCTGTTTTGCACAAAATAACCTATTTTAAATTAAATGTTTGTCTGATAAATCGGAATGGGTTTACAGACCTTTTTTTTGATCACGACAAAATATGCGATGGTTGTCAGCCTAAAAAAAAGAATGTCTTATGGAGTTTTTTTTTTTTTTTTTTTTTTTCTTTCAGAAAACTGGGTCATATTTACATTACACATGGGAAAAAAAACCATGAAAACTCACATGCAGCCAGACCACTCTCCAAAATGTGAACCTGAATCAAATTATCAGTGTTCAAAAAATTATTTACTGCTTCGCCATTATTAGACTTATAAAGTTGAATAATACAAGATAAACTCCTATATCAGAAATGAAATTAAATCAAGTGTTTCATAATATACAATTATTCTACCAAAATTTTATGGCACAAGAGTCAGTCATAAATACAGAACATAAAATGTTAAAATGATTAGTGTAGAGAGAAGACTACCCCTTGTATTATCGCGAAGTTGTTTCATTTATCGCCAAGTGGTGGTTTATTTATAGTAGCCTGAGTAGTTGAATGTTATCGAAACCCTATTATGACATGATCGACTGCATGATTGCGGTAAATTTGTAAGGGCTTGTCATGTGTGTTGGTTAGGAATTACATTGCTTGTTTTCTGGTTTAGATGGTAAAACGACTGAATGTGGTAAGATTAATTTGAAGTTTCTGCACGATTTGGAAAAAAAGGGGAAAACAGCATTACTTGACTGGTGTGTAACTGAAGGTTTACTTAGTAGCCATTATTAAGTGTCCTATTTGTAAGAAGGAAATGTGTATGGTCAGACAATACGGCACTATGGATATTTTTTACTCTTATTTTGTAAATTTATGCGGCGATGCCAGTAGACAGATTCTAGTTCAGATAATTTTAGGAAGTTTTTAGATGCTGTTAAGAAATTTTGTTTGGCTGAAGACGTGTTAATTGGTAAATAAGGTAGGCCCACCAGCGGCCGAGCGGTAAAGTCGCTGAACGCTGGTAGTTCGGTCGGAGGTTCGAATCCCGCGAACGAGCTGGCTGCATGGGTGTTTTCGTGGTTTTCCCCATGTGTAATGAGAATACAAGCCAGTTTCCCTTAGAAAGTCCTCCACGAAGGCATCCCTCCCCTTAGGCAGATAGTCCTCGAGGCTTTGCCGTAATTAAATAACCTAACCTAACCTGGTAAATAAGGTAAGTGGATATTTCCTTTGTGTAGTGCAAAAATGAAATCCTTTTTTTATATTATTTCATCATTTGATTTAAAACGTAGTTTATAAAGATTATATATATATATATATATATTGGCTGCTCCTTTGACTTTTAAGTTAATATAGTTTGTTGTGTACATGGACAAAGTCATGCCAAAGGGAGTGTGCAATGCCTTGTTTGTGCAATTCTCTGATGTTTTTCAAGTTAAAATATGTCAATGTGTACATGAATAAAGTCAAGGGAGTGCGCAATGGCAAGTTTGTGCAATTCTGGGAAATTTTTTTTAAGTGAAAATAGGTCGATGTGTACTTAGATACTGAGTTTGTAAAATTCTTTGTCTTGTTATTTTGGCTTTGTGTAGCAGCGATTTTTTCGCAAAAATCACCACTACACAAACCAAAATAACAAGTCAAAGAATTGCACAAACTCGGATTCCATGTACCGCTAAAAATCGACAATTTTCGCCAAGGGGTACCTCCAAATATACTTTTACCGTTAAAATTTATTTGAATACTTAATATGGCTCATATTTTATTCAGATCATAAACTTAATGATTAACATGAATTATAATAAATAAGCCACACTGTCATCATTTTTCGGAATTATTAATGGTACTTTTCCGTTTTGCCGGCGCGAACGATAAAAAGTCGCCAATAATGATACATCTGATGCCAAATGGAATATCTTTGCTGGTAACCTATTATGCTTCATTTTCAAAACAAGTCGCAGCCATTTCTTATCAGATCGATTGTTTCTTTCGATACTGCATACAATTACATAGATTTTTTACAAAATTGTTAAATTTTAGGCCCCAAGACCATTCCTGATAATTAAGTCAATTAGGATGTAATCACACCACTCACCCTAAAGCAAAAATATAGAAAAGGCAAAGTCAAGAGTTAAATTCTTTAATTCGGTTGATCTTTGGATTATGGTAACTTGGCGATTTTTTGGCGACCAACTCTGCTACAGCAACCCTCTATTTTTTTTCGCCGCCATTTTGTCTTCATGAAGTAAAGACATGTTTCTTTTCTTTTTATTTACTGAACGCACTTTCCAACAATCTAATAGTCGAATCACACTTATGCTAGAAATTTTATGTAACAAAACTGCTTAATCATGACAAATATTAACTGCAAAATTGGGAAAAAGTGCACAATCGCAAACTCCTTGCGCATTTTTCAGAACAGCACATACACGTAAACCATTTACACGTCGACTTATTTTTACTTAAAAAAGCATCCCAGAATTGCACAAAAATTGCACACACACTCTTAACTTTATCCATCTACACTGCTATTTTCTCATAAATTACAAAAATTTGCATGAAAATGCAAAAAAATTCTGTGACTCTTTGAACTCGGTAAAAAGCACATATATGAAATTACCTGATCGCGAAAAAGTATATACCCTTTCCAAGGATGAACATTTCCACGTATAAAATAAATAAAATATCCAAAAACTTTTACCTCTAAATTATCTATTATATTATAAACATCACCAATGAATTCATACCGCAAACATTACAAATGGTTACAAATACTTAGTGTCAAATATTTAAATTATTTACATGCACGTTTACTTCAACTGAAACGTATACAGTCAAAAGTCATTAATCCGGACTCGTCGGGACTTCGGCGATTCCGGCTTATCGATTTTTCCGGATTATAGATCATCAGTTTAAATCTCGTAAGATGGCATGCGGAAATTCTAAAATTAAAAATATGAAACCGTAATTTATGAAATAAAGAACAATTATGATCTAAAGGGTATCAAAATTTACATTAAAAAAAAAAAAAAGCTTTATACTTATTTGTTTACTTTATTAAACATTTCTTTCATTGCGCGCATGCGTAAAGCATACATTACGCATAGTTGAAGCGCATGCATAAAGCATACATTACGCATAGTCGAAATTAGAAAATTGCAACCAGAAAACTATTTGATGTGTATTCGTGATATTTATGACGAGGAATTTGATTTAAATCATATCAAAGACGGGGGACATCGAGATGAAACTACTACATTTAGTAAGGAATTATAAACCGAATAAAATACAAACATCTGCCCCTGAAGATGAGGATTAGTGCTGACAGATCAACTTCCATTCAAAATTTACAAAAAAAAAAAAAATAAATAAAAAAAAAGCTTAATATTATTTTGTTTACTTTATTAAACATTTCTTTCAATGTAAGTTGTTTAAGTTGCTTCGTTTTATGTGATAATACTTTCTCTTTAATTCTATAAACAGACATAATTTTTTGTTCAGTTACAAAGTTCAGCTGTTCAAGTCCCGTAATTGATGTGCCAAGAATACCGACTAACTTGTCAATCGAAATTTTTTCGTTTTCACTAACCTCTCTGTCACCTTCTTCATGTCTTTATCCATCTTTTGCAGCAATTCCACTTTTTGTTTGACGGACGTTGAAACATACTTTCATTTTGCAGATCCTTTGGAAGCTCCAGCATCGGAAATTCTATTTGACATAATCGAAAGTTCAAGTTTACTTTTATAAAATTGCTCATACAGTCTGCAAAATATAATAAGCCGCATCCAATTTGAAGATTAAGGAACAACGCAATCATCAACATTAATTGAAATAGATAATTAGATAATTTTAGCTTATACCGTCCGTTATACATTAAACGCGCACACGAAAACGTATTCTGCACTTGCACACACACATATGCGCAGTCGCAAAGGTCTTAAGCGCACGCGTAAACGCCTATGCACATGTGTCAACGCGGCGCATGTGCAGACAGTTTTTATCTTTGAAGTCCGGATTATAGATCATTCCGGATTATAGGTGTCCGAATTAACGACTTTTGACTGTACCAAATTCCTACAAACATAAAATTCACAAAATAACTATCATTTAATTAAAATATCACTAAACCATGTACACATCGACTTATTTTTACTTAAAAAAACATCCCAGAATTGTACAAAAATGGCATTGCGCACACTGTTTACTATATCCATGTACACTGCTTTTTTCTCATAAATTAGAAAAATTTCACGAAAATGCATGACAATTTTCTGAATCTTTAAACCCGGTAAAAAGAACATATATGAAATTACCTAATATCAAAAAAGTATACCCTTTCCAAATATGAACATTTCCACGTATAAAATAAATAAAATATCCAAAAACTTTTACCTCTAAATTATCTATTATATTATAAACGTCACCAACGAATTCATACCTCAAACATTACAAATGGTTACAAATACTTAGTGTAAATATTTAAAATATTTAAATTAATTCCATGCAAATATTAAAATTATTTCCATGCACGTTTACTTCCACTGAAGCGTATACCAAATTCCTACAAACATAAAAATTCACAAAATAACTATCATTTAATTAAAATATTACTAAACCATGTAACACCACGTCGACTTTTTTTACTTAAAAAAAACATCCCAGAATTGCACAAAAATGGCATTGCGCACACTTTTCACTATATCCATGTACACTGCTTTTTTCTCATAAATTAGAAAAATTTCACGAAAATGCATGAAAATTTTGTGAATCTTTAAATCCGGTAAAAAGAACATATATGAAATTACCTGATCGCGTAAAAGTATATACCCTTTCCAAAGATGAACATTTCCACGTATAAAATAAATAAAATATCAAAAAACTTTTACCTTTAAATTATCTATTATATTATAAACGTCACCAACGAATTCATACCTCAAACTTACAAATGGTTACAAATACTTAGTGTCAAATATTTAAATTATTTCCATGCATGTTTACTTCCACTGAAAGTATACCAAATTCCTAAAAACATATTTCACAAAAGAACTATCATTTAATTAAAATATAATTAAATTCAAAACACTACTTAAATATAAATAAGCACATACATTAAATTAATAAAAATTAGCTTACATTCCTAATTACTTTAAACTAAATCATTGCAATAACAATTTTCCAATAACACCATATCACTTTATTTACTCCTTACATTTAGAACAATGCATAAAATAATATCCTCAAATATTAAAAATACTAACTTACCTAATCTTCTTCAGAATCTTGATTACGTGGCCGATAAACTTTTTCCTCCGCTAAATAAAAAGCAAGCGTTATGTGTCCTGTTTCAGGATCTTTAAAATCATATTTATAGTTCACAGCAAGGTACCAGGTAAATAAATAACTTAATAAACCCTCTTTACTTCTATTTCGCACAACCTTAAAAAAAACCTTATTACTACCCCTTTCAATCCCACTAAATACCCATTTCGAATTCACTTTAGTTAGGGCCATGGGATCCAAAAATAACCAACCCTGTTTCACAACAACACAGAATAAAGCTAAATACAAATTTCCAGATTTTTTCCAGATTTCCCCCTTTTTTTTTCCGATTTAAGAACTGTAAGTTCATCCATTAATGTCAAATGACATATCTCATGATCTCTCATTTCCCTCACACAAAATAATGCGTATCGGAACTGAGTACTTCTCACATTATTACCAAAGTCCTAGGTAGTAACCTTTATCGCCTCCAAAATGTCACCAAACTACCAGTTACCATATTCCAAAGATCAGCCTTCAATTCTAATGAGAATGCACTAACGAAGTAAAGCACTGCGGTTTTACACAATTTCTGAGTAAGCTATTCGTACGAATTGAAATAATTCTTGTATTTAAACTTGTATTCCAAATTAAGATTTAACCTGAAATTAATGTAGATAATTACTGAGAGAATTAGATTTTTGTAGCATAGTTTACATGAGATGAGATCACTTGGGGTCACGTGATACGAACTGGCGAATCAGGCTATTGAACCACGACAGCATAATAAATTCTTAAATTAATGTCTTTTTACAAATTGTCTTTATTTATTGGGTTTTTACACAATTTTAAACCATATTAAAATGTTTATGCCTTCAAAATAAAAAATTCTTAGAACGAACATTTGTTATGTGTAGTATACTGCATGCTGTCGTCAACAAAGTTTGCTTGGCGAGATTTGCGCCGGCAAAACGGAAAAGTACATTATTAACTTATTAGAAAAGTAAAACACAAAATAATCAAATAAAGGAAGAATGTACTGTATGAATGCAATTTTCTGGGAGCATTTATATGATACAGTAATGAAAATATAAAGCTGGGCTACATAAATACATTAATATAAACCAATATTAAATCCATATCTGAAGCTATTAAATATTTCAAACTTCTGAAAGATATGCTCAGATAAAAATAATGAAAAGGGATTTTTATTTCTGCATTATGAATTTACAAATATACTTTAATTATCAAGTGACTCAGTTCTCAAAACTTAAGTTATAATAAAGTATCAGAAATTTCATGTAATTTGGAAAACCAAGCTTATCAAAAACAAGAAGGATTTTTCAACTCTTAACGAAAGTAAATTTGGTTAATCTTCGGATTATGGTAACTTGGCGATTTTTTGACGAACATTTGGCGATCAACCCTGTTAGTTTTTTTTTTTTTTTTTTTTTTGGACGCCATTTTGTTTTCTCGAAGTAAAGGCATTTTTTTTTTAAACTCAATATTTTTTTCCAACAATCTGCTAGCCGAATTATGCTTATGCTAGAACTTTTATGGAACAAAAGTGCTTAATCATGAAGATTAGGTGCGAAATTGGGAGAAAGTACAAAATCGCCCACTGCTTGCCGCATTTTTAAGAACTGCACATACACGGTATCATCCATGTACACGTCGACCTATTTTCACTTAAAAAAAAATCCCAGAATTGCACAAAAATGGCATTGCGCACACTCTTGACTTTATCCATGTACACTGCTAAAGTCCTAGCTCGTAACCTTTATCGCCTTACCAAAATGTCGCCAAACTACCTGTTACCATATTCCAAAGATTAGTCGTAAATTTGTAGATTTAAAATGTGAAAATAAAACTCCCTGTTCTTTATTCTTAACCAAGTTTTTCTTTCAAATGTTTGAAATGTTTAAGCTTAAAAGATAGTTTTAATTATGAAGTCCTTGGAATTTTTTACGATGAATGTCTATATTATTACACAAAAAAGTTTCTTTTATTATTTCACAAGTATTACAAAATTCCATATGTTCTTTAAAAGTCTGTTCTTGCATACAATACAACATCTGAGAACAGATTTGTGCTGGAGAAATTACTTTTTAAAATTTATTCTAAACTAAAAACTCAGTCGCACCAACAGCCCTAATGGGACAAGGCCTGCAGTGCCCAGAAATCTGCTTTCTTGACAATGGGCCCCGGGATGCGTAAGCATATGCCCTGAACAAGTGGTCAGTTTGTCACAGGACCCTCAGTGTTTAGTCCCCAAGCAAACTTGGTACTCATTTTATCGACACAAGGGATGAAAGGCTGAGTCGACCTTGCCCAGCCCGAGATTCGAACCCCGGACCTGTGGTGCTGCTGCACGATGCACTAGCCACTGCGCCACAGGGCCTAAAAATTTATTCTTGTTACCTAAAAAATGCGATGAAATACATTTCAATTAAAAAGCATGTGCATAACTAAAAAAAAAAAGTCAATTCACTAACCTTTTGTTGAACAAAACTTCCGATTTTGTATATACCGTAAAGAGTCATAGCACCACCACATCCTCTGAGAATTAATCTTCGAAAATTCCTTGACATTTTCTAAAGGGGAAGAATAATTCAATGAAATGAAAACAAACTACAGAATTCAACACACTTTACTGAATATGAATTTCAAGACCACAGTAAAAAGCTTCAGCTGTCAGTGTTTTCTTTTCATTTTCAACCAATATAAAAACATACTATTCAGCTATGGTAAAATCTTAAACAAAACACCATTATTAAATACATTTAAAATGCTAAATAATTTTACAACGGAAAAATGCAAAATAAAACACAGTTTTGATTGTATCACTAAAAACACCATTCATGTTGACGCTGATAATATTTTATAGCTTTCTGGCATTACTCATATAACTATTATATTTATTTAAATATTGCTCTGGAATATTCTACAGCATATTTAAAAGACATGTACTACTCTTTTCCTAAATTGTGAAATTCTGCATGGTCGACATGTATGTCTCATATCCAAACATATCATAAAGCATAATATCAAATGTTATCAACTAGTTTTTACAACACTACGAAATAACTTCAGAAGTCAAACTTTAAAATAATTTACGATAGTAAGAAATGAAAAATCAAAATGCGCACTTTCCTAATAACACACCTCAACCGAAAAGCCGAATACCAAAATTTCGTCTGCTCTTATCAAAGAAAGATGAAGTAAAGAAGCTTTAATAGCTTAATATCGTCAAAAATATATATATTAGAAAAATATCATGCTTAAAGGCACATTACTTCAGTTCTTCAGAACGTTTTAATGAAACTTTAAATTTGAACCTCTTATTTATTTTTATTATTATGCCCTTCCGCTAATAAAATATCACGCATGGTGTTGCCATATTACACAAAATGAATATGTTAATCGTTAAATATGAGTGTATTTTAAAATGTTGGCACAAGATAGCGCCACAAGTGCTGAAATCAGAGTTTAACACTTTATATAAATCCGAGGTAAAGGGAAAAGTGTGCAATACAAAATAAACTGAAAAAGCCTATGGGCCCAATTCATGGCACTGCAAAGGACAGCTGGTAATTACACTGTTGTGTGGGTTCAGTGAAGTGCATGACGCAACCAAAACAGACTAGCCACGGCCCAAACATTTATTTCTAACTCATAAGACAGCAGCGATGCGCCATTTTACGCAGTTACATTACATTCTCTTCTACTCTCGTTCACTGAGGTTCTCAGGTATAAGAGTACTGATACTCTCGAAATCTGATGCTACATCCCTCCCCACTTATTTAGAGATTTAATCTCTGAGGAGTTTGAGGATGCGCGAAGATCGTCTAAATCCTGGCTGGGGTTGCTGCAACTCTTTATCAGGATTCACTGGAATGACTGGATCAGTTTTCCTTGGAATTGACGATGTTTCAAGTCCGGCTGAAGTTTGCACAGCTTCACTTCTTTGTTCGATGTCCTTGTCTGGAGCCTGTAGCATCACGTTGCCATCTGAAGTAGCAGCCATACGAGGTTCATAGATTACAGGTGCAGACGGAACCTCGCTCCCTACCAATCTGATCTGATCGACGTGCAGGCGCAGTAAAGTTCCTTGAACGTCAATGGTATAATGCAGCGTTCCATCCTTACTTGTCACTCTGCCAATTTTCCATCGGAAATTTGCCGATCTATAATCCCTAATGGCAACCTTTTCTCCGATCTCAAAATTTCTGTCTTTGAAACCATAAGTATTCCTTCGGATGCGTTCTTCCACTCTTCGTCTAAGATTTGGAACAACTAAATCAATTCGAGTTCTAATTTCTCTTTTTAAGAATAACATTGCTGGACTTAACAAGGTTGTCATGTTCGGTGCCTTTCTATAATTCATGAGGAATATGGCAAGTTTTTGCTTAATATTTCCTGGATAACCTTGCATTGCACATAATGCTTGTTTAACGGTGTAAACGTACTGCTCTGCTTGCCCGTTACTTGCTGGTTTAAATGGAGCACACGTTTTTGTGTTTAATTTCCATTATTCCTTATAAAAGTTTCAAATTCCCCCGATGTGAACTGAGGACCATTGTCACTCACTACTACTAAAGGCAGTCCGTATCTTGCAAAACAGTCTCTCAAACATTCAATTGTCTGAAAGGAATTTGTTGACTTTAAGGTATACACTTCTAGCCATTTAGAATGTGCGTCAATGATAATCAAGAACATTCGTTCAAAAATAGGGCCTGCAAAATCTACGTGAATGCGTTCCCAAGGCGCACTTGGATATTCTCCAGTGATGGACCCTTGCCCTTACTGGATCTGATTTGAACTTAATACAATCGAACACAGTTCCTAGAAACTTCTTCTTCAATATCATGATCAATTCCCTTCCAAAAGACGTAGGATCTGGCGATTGCCTTCATTTTAACGATTCCTAAATGTCCTTGGTGTAACTCTTCGAGAATTTTAACTCGGAGTTTTTTCGGAACAACTACCCTCTGACCACTCATTATACAGTCATCTTGTAAGGTGTACTCTGGCTTCCCTACCTTCCAAACTTTCTCCAGATTTTAATTTCATATAAAGACTATTTAATTCTTCATCAGCTCGCGTTTCCCGAGCTATCTCCCTAGCTGTTACCGGAAGAGTTTCAATTTGGGAGAGTTGGAATATTTCAACATCATCCTTAATGCTTAAATCTTCGGACTTAAGAGGCAGGCGCGACAGGCAGTCAGCATTACCGTGTTCCTTGGTATTTCGATACACAATATCAAACTGATATGCCTGCAATATCAGTGCATAATGTAAAAGTCGGGTGGCTGTGAGGATAGGAAGTCCTCTTTTCGATTTGAAAATAGCCACTAAAGGTTTATGATCTGTCACCAGAGAAAATCGTCTCCCCTTTAGATATAGATAAAACTTTTTGACAGCCCAAACAATTGACAGTGCTTCTTTATCGATTTGGGCGTATTTCTGCTCTGTGTTAGTCAGTGTCCTCGATGCGAATGCTATAGGCCTTTCTGTTCCATCAGACAAAACATGCGAGAGCACTGCCCCAAGACCTACCGGAGATGCATCAGTAGCTAGCATTAACGGTAATGTGGGATCGTAATGCATTAAAACTCTGTCTGAACAAATTTCCTTTTTTATTTTTTCAAAAGCGATTTGGCAGTTTTTTGACCAACTCCATTTAACATCTTTTTTTGTTAAATTATTTAAGGGATGTGCCAAAGTTGCCAAATTAGGGCAAAATTTTGGCATAAAAATTCACTAATCCCAAAAAGCTTTTGATGTCTTGGACGCCTTTCGGCGTAGGGGCATTAGCAATTGCCGAAATCTTTTCATCCGTTTTATGCAATCCATCGGCATCAATTTTATGCCCTAAAAATTTAATCTCATTTTGAAAAAATTTACTTTTAGTTAAGTTTAATTTTAGGCCGTGCTCCTTGCATTTTTTGAAAAATATTTCCAATGCTTTTAAATGAGACTGATCATCCGGTCCTGTCACTCGAGCATCATCCATAAAAATTTTATTCCTTCGAATCCCCTGAAATAATCCCTCAACATAGCGCTGCCAAATAGCTGGGGCAGCATTTAATCCATACATTAAGCGTTTACAAATATACAACCCCTTATGCGTGTTTATTGTTAATAATCGTTGGCTCTCCGGATGCACCTTCATTTGTAGATAAGCATGACTGAAATCAAGTTTCGAAAAATTTTTACCTCCATTAAGGCATGAAAATATTTCTTCGAGTTTTGGTAATGGATGCTGTGTGCACTTCCAAATTAGGATTCAGAGTCACAGAATAATCAGCACAAAGCCTAATGGAACCATCAGATTTAACAATTGGCACAACTGGTGTTGCCCATTCTGAAGTCTCAACCCTCTCAATGATACCTTCTTTCTCAAGCCGATCAATTTCTGATTCAACTCTATTTTTTAATGCGAAAGGTACCGGTCGTGACCTACAAAATATTGGTTGAGTATTAGGTTTCAAATTTAGTTTTACTTCGTGATTGTTAATTTCACCTAATTTACCGTCAAAAATTTCCTTATACTCCTCAAGCAATTTTTTTAAATTCAATTCACTAGAAGTTTTCAATGTTTTGATGGCATTCCAATCGAGATTGATTTTATACAGCCATTCTCGGCCGAAGATTGTGTCCAAATTTTCCTTCACAATGTATAAATTTAAAACTAATTTTTGACCTTGGTATTCAACTTTAACAGGAACATATCCTAAAGGTACCACCTTATCACCCCTGTAAGTTTTAAAAACTAAATTTGTAGGCTGAATCTTTTTATTGGAAATTTTTCTAAATTTATTTATAGACATTACCGAAACTGTTCCCCCAGTATCAAGTTCCATGCTAACTGGTTTGTTTTCAATTTTAACTTGAACCATTATTGGCGGTCTTTTCGGCTCTTCCTCTCTTAACATGTGCGTTCTGGAGCTAAATCCATAGATGGGGACCTCATTTTTTCGAATCATAATCATTATTTGCCTCAACTTTCTTTTTGTTTAACCTGTCGGTTTTTCCTAGACAAATAACACGCCCTTTCGATATGTCCAATTTTTTTACAAAAGCGGCATTCACTTGTTGCAAATCTACAGTTGTTTTTATTGTGATTTGCTCCTAAGCAACGCGAACAAGTTTCATTTTTACCTTTATTATTCTTAGCAACAAAGTTTTGTTTCCGCGGTTTGGACTCATTTTTCTTGGTTTTAAGTACTTTCAGTTCTACGGAATTTCCTATAATCTCATTTGCACCCTTAACCGCCTTTTCCATCGCCAAGGCTATCTTTAATGTTTTCTCTAAATCGATATCATCTTCCTGAAATAATCGATCTAAGATATTACGATCTCGTAGACCGCTAACGAAAACATCCCTTAACATTGTATTTAGCATATCCTCTTTATATTCACAAGGAATCGCTAACGAGCATAATTCCGTGACATAACTATTAATTGATTCCCCCTCATGCTGTTTTCTATTTAATAAACATGTGCCGACTAGGTATTATTAAAGCTTTAGGATTTAAATGATCCTTAAGAACCTTTTTTAGTTCGGTAAAATTTTTATCTGAAGGATTATCCGGAGAGAGTAAATTTTTCAACAAATTATACAATTTCGCATTCAAGCTTGAGATCAGAACTTTCCCACGTTTTGCCTCTGGAACATTTTGAATGTCCAAAAAAGCCTCAAATCGTTCTATGAACGAATCAAAATTTTCTACCGTTTCATCATCAAACTTATCAAAAGAAACAGAAATTTTGTCTTGTTTATGTTCCGATTTCTCTTGCAATGCGACCATTAAAGCTTCATTCTGCTTTATTAATTTTCTTCTTCAATTAACTTCTCCATCCTTTCAAAATAAAAATCAAATAACTTTCCTACCTTTTGCAGTTTTCGGGGAATCCCCTAATCCAAGTTTCGGTTTTGCTACTACTTACGCATGTAACCGCGTGCGCCGAGTCGGGAACGATTTTCTTCTCATCCCATCCTCGTCGCCAACTGTTGTGTCTAGCGGTGTGGGTTCAGTGAAGTGCAGGACGCAACCAAAACAGACTAGTTCACGGCACAAACATTTATTTCTAACTAACTCATAAGACAGCAGCAATGCGCCATTTTACGCAGTTACATTACATTCTCCTCTACTCTCGTTCACAGAGGTTCTCAGGTATAAGAGTACTGATACTCTCGAAATCAGATGCTACATACATATAACGAATCACATGGTGTTTTGACATCGTTAAATGTGCTATCGCTATCCTTATCAACTCGCTCTTTAAATCTGATTCTAAATGGTCGATTGTTAATTTTAAGGACAGGTTTGAAGATTGTTAATTTTAAGGACAGGTTTTAAGGACAGGTCAGAAAAGTAATAAACTTCTTTATTTTTAGCCAAAATGTCGTTATCCCAAAAGGGCTCGTTTTGGCATTTTGCGTCTTTTATGTTATAGAGAATTATTTAATGTGAAATTAATTAATGCTCTCGTCTAATAATTTGCGTTTTGAGGTACAATGATGACCTTCGAGGTATGTGGCAGATCCTCTTCAGGACCCCTTCAGTGTATTCTTCTAGAAATATGTAATTTAAACTAGTAAGCTGGGATTGTAATAAAATAAATCTTTGATAGGTTATGGATTTCGATTTCAAAATACGTACAGCTAATGAAAAAGCTAATGTCAAAGATTTATTCGAATATGAAGATTGTAAAGTTGGAAGAGGAACATATGGTCATGTTTACAAGGCAAGACGAAAGGATGGATTTGATCCTAAATACTATGGCTTGAAACAAATAGAAGGTACAGGGATATCGATGTCTGCTTGCAAAGAAATCGCACTGCTTAGGGAATTAAAAAATCCAAATGTGATAAGCCTTCAAAGGGTTTTTTCAAAGGGTCTTTCTGATACGGATAGAAAAGTTTGGCTGCTTTTTGATTATGCCGAACATGACTTGTGGCATATACTTAAATTTCACAGGGCTGCTAAAGCCAACAAAAAGCCAGTATTAGTGCCAAAAGGTATGGTGAAATCTCTTTTATACCAGATGGTGGATGGTATCTAGACGCCAAAATACTAAGATTACATTCAAATTCTATGAAAAAGTGATTCCCCCTCATAAAGTTTATTAAAACATAGGGGAGTACGACTATCTAATCGAACAGCCGCATAAAACGCCCAGACTATACATCATAATGTTTAGATGGTAGTTCTTGTATATATTTTATTATTTTTCATTATTTAATCGAGATTTGTTTCATCTTTATCATCATTTTCATCTTACTATGGACTTTGCCCGGTACCAAGGCTGCTGACTTTACATCATTAAATTCGTATATCACGTGACAGTCTACTTCCCTATGAGTATTAAGATACAAGGAGGTTGTAAATTAAATAGTGGCAACTTAACCTTGAAACTCGCAGAAGGGCGGGCATGCACAAATAGGATATGGGAGCGGTGAGGTGGCGCTGTTGTCTATGTGTAGAGCGCAAAAAACAGTCGATCTGCTTAGAAGGGTAGATGTTGTGTGGCGTTAAAGTGAAGAGTTTCGTTTCCCATAACTCAAAGCAATGTTTTCAAACGGTGATCAGCGATCATGCTAAAATCAAGGTTGCCCGTGAAAAATGCAACAGAATGCTATTGAGGATAGTGGAAGCCTGTGGCACAAATCCTTACCGTATAGACAGTAGCACATGGGTTCAAGCATTTCGTTCGGGTCTGAAGAGACTGCGGATTTGCAAGCACAGGGTCGGCCTTCCTTCCTCAGAGCAGATTGACATTCTGAGTGGTCCCTTCCATAGACCGCCGATGGACTGTCCGAGAATTATTCTTAGAGTTTGGTCTGAGTCATCAAACGGTGTGGCGCATAATGAAGAAATCTCTCAACATGAGAAAAATTGCTTCCCGCTGGGTTCCACATCGACTAACCGGAAGTGTAGAAATGGCACCGGTATGCACTGGCTGTCACTCTCTTGGAGAGATACGGCAATGAAGGAGACGCATTTCTGCAGCGTATTGTCGCCATTGATGAGAAATGAGCACAAGCCTGTGAGCCTGAATTAAAGTGTCAATGAAATGAATGGCGTCACCAATGTTCGCCACGTCTACAGAAATTTCGACAGAAACCCAGTCGGGTGAAGGTTATGCTGATTATGGCATACGACTGGGAACAGTGTGATTCTTACACATAAGGACAAACTGTCAAATAAGATTTCTATTGCCGATTTCTACAGCACCATCTGCGTCCAGCTATGCGGCGCAAACGTCCACGTTTATTGCACAACAATCTCCCTATCGTATTTCATGACAACGCTCGTTGCATTCGCAAACAATGTCACTCTCCTTTTCGACGGTGGGAGTTGGAACTCCGGACACCCTCCCTACTCACCCGACATGAGTCCTTGTGCTGCGATCTGTTTCCGAATTGAAGGAACCCCTCCGAGGTCATGATTTCATGACTTTCATCTGTACTCCACGCAGTAGGCGCTTGCAAAACAATCAACACCTTGTCACTGGTCTACAACGACTTCGAAATTGGCAAAAGGTTATAAGCTTTGCTGGTGATTACATAGAAGGAATGTAATGCATTGTAATTGTAAGTTCATTAAAAATTGATTTATACCTATGTTGCCATTAGTTAATTTACAGCCCTCGTAGGTACTTTAGCTTCAGACGAAAGCACAAAAATTTCTGGGATTTGTATATATTATTTTCCATTTTTACTGTACGATACTGTGTCAAATCTACGATAATGTGTAAAAGATATGCTATTGCGAAAAGATATGCCAAAGTTATTAGCTGCTATTATTGCTTATCCAAACAAAAAATTCATCTGTGGCTGATATATGGCGTCACGCCTGATCAACTTCTTCACTACTGAAGTCTTTGCACTTTTATTACAAGTGCACAGGATTTTTCCATTTTCATTAAATTTAATGAACTTTTACAGGTTCTTAGGGGATTGATAAACATGTAGTGGTAAAGGCTTTCTGGTCGAACACCACTTAACGAATGATGATCTCTGATGATCTGATCTCTGCGTCGATTCACTTTCTGTGATGATTCACTTTTCAAACTGTTGCCACCGACTCTTATAGCCCTGTATTATATTTAAAGAAATTAAATAATGAAGCATCTACATAAATATATATATGTTTCTCGCACTAAACAACGCTTCCTAGAGCCATCAAATTTTGAATAACGTAATCCTCCAGCGAATATGGGCATCTGGAATTGGTTTTATTATCTGTTTCACACTTTGTCAGACATTAAAGAATTTTTTATTCAGAAAATCAACTATTTCAAAGCGAGGAATGGAAACACTGTAAGGAAAAAAAGAAAAAAAAATTATCTCCTGCGCGTTAGACTGTGCAACACAAATTCTAAAGATATGCTCATTTTAAAATTATTTTGCATTATTGCTGTTGAACTGAAATTTATGGTTTAAGTGCGAAGAACATGACATTTAATAAATAAGGGTAACACACAAAACGTTCAAAAAAAGTCATTTTCGGCGTAATGTACAGATTTTCTTTGATTTTTTTTTAAATTTATATTTTTTTTCACCCTGATTTATCATGAATTCTTTAGTAGGTGACAGCAGTTACCATACAAATATTTTAAATAGGTTCAAGCTGTTCGTTTATTCGCATATTTGAAAGTTCGAAAAATAAAGCTAGTCAAATAATAAGAAAAATTACAAAACGGTTCATGTCGCAAAGTGTTGCTTCAAAATTCGGGAGTTCCTTTTAAGTTCCTTATATTTTGATAATTATCTATATAAATCGCTGGATTTTACACTTAATTGATGTAAAAACAATTAAATTAATTGCCTCTACTACTTATTAAATAACGTATTTTTAAAGAAATTTGGCAGCTTGTGTTCGAAAAGATCAGCCGTGTTTCGTTTTTGACGAATTGCTATAAATATTTTATTTAAGACTTTATAAAGTCTTAAATAAAAAGAAAGCTTTTTTATGATGTTTTAATTAACTAGTAGAACTTTAAGCTAGCATATAGCAGTACTGGGAAGCCTAGCAAAGCAAATGAAAACAGAAAACAAAGCATTAAATAAATATTTACAGGTGCAAAACACGTATTTTTACATATATTATCAATATTTTATTCAATTACATGCTTCTTCTAACTTAATACTCTTTGCTTTATAAGCAAACAGCAAACGTAAAAATATTTTCCGAATACGTATCCCGATCTGCTGCTACGGATAATCCTTTAGCAGGGGAAAAGTATCACGCTGTTCTCCTAGAAGAAGTACGTCACCGGATGACAATCATAACGTGGTCTACCATAATAAGCTATTTCTTCGGTTTTTGGCGTTAAGGCTGTTCTCCGAACAATATCCCTATATAGAATTCTAGTTCTCAATTCGACAAATTTAAATTATAGAATATTATAAAATTTTCTATATTACTTTTAAATACTTAATTTCTATGAGCAACTTATAGTAGTGTGAAACAGCAGGTTCAACCACAGGAGGCGATGCTCCCTGCAAACCCGAAGGCGGATTGCACAGGCGGAGCGCCGAGCAAGGCCGCACGCGGAGGCACAGCAGATAAGAAGGAGTGTTTCAGGATTCTTCATTTAACTGATAAGATTACGTCACACTTTGATAAGAAATTATCTTTGATTGAATTTCCTAAGTTTTTTGTGAATCAGTTTTTAGCCTTTATATTTTTCTTCGTGTTCAAGCTATTTTAGGACGTATACAATGCTTATTTCCTTAACGGTCCTTATTTTCGAATTTAATGATTGATTCAGGAGGCTTTAATTTCAGATGTAAATTTTTTTTTTATGTTTCCATATGTTTCCTTATTATATACTACATACTCAGAATTTTAAATTTTTTCTTAAAATACCAGATTTACTTTTCCTAATCTTAACTACGCTACTCATTTTTATTATTTATTTCATTTCCCATAGAATTTTTTCATGTCTTTTAAACAGTACTTTTAACTCATTTGTTATATTTTACGAACTTAATTATTCAGATCTGCATCTTTATTTATTATATTATTCAATTTTCAATGTAATTTTAACTTCTTTCGCGGTTTTTAACGCTTGTGGTCTTCAACATATTCTGCATTTTAACTTATTTCTTATATTTTCTGATCATATAGTTGACCTTTACTTAATTTTAGATGTAAAGGTTTTAGCTTGTGTTGTACATTTTAAACGTCAAAATTTTTAATGTACTCTAATATTTAACTAATTTATATTTTTGCACTATACGCATGACTTTTATTTAATTTCTTTCATACATTTTAACTTTCATAATTTCGAATATAGTTTTAATTTTAACACAATTCCTATATTTTCAGATCATATACATGACTTTTATATAATTTTAGATATAAATTTTAATTCTTTCTACTTTTTAAAGTTTAAATTTCCAACATACTCTGAATTTTAACTAACTTATGATATCTATAGACTATGTACATGACCTTTAGTTAATTTTAATTATTTTCATACGTTTTTAACGTTCGTGATTTCAAACATGTTCTTAAGTTTAGCTTAATTAATCTATTTCTGGCCTTAATGCTTATTGATTTTAGATGCTATTTTTAACTTGTTTCGTACATTTCAAACCTTCGTAATTTTTAAAGTACTCTAATTTTGAACTTGTTTATTACGTTTTCCTACCATATACATGAAATTTAATTAATTTTAGATGTAATTTTAATACTTTTCTGACACTTTTTTCCCTCCCAGTTTCCAACATACTTAATGATAATACATACTTAATAATAATATTAACGCTTTTTTTATAATTTTCGATTGTAATCACGCATTTCATTTTACTATTTCAGCTAAATTTACATATTTAACTTTCTTAAACATAGAGATAGTTTTCAGTTAAGCATTTTATTTTACAACCGATAACTGTTATTCATATCCAATGCGATGAATAGCCCTTATTTAGTCTATGTTTTATGCTACTATTTTGATTTGCCAATTCTACAATTTATCATCCTGCAGTATTTTACCATGACTAATTCGACTATTTTACGCCATTATTAACTTCATTCAAATTTTCAAACTTT